CTACAAATAAACACGTGTCAATGCATAGTTACGTTGGAAGGGGGGGGGGGCGCTCACTTTCGAATCCGTTCATTTCTTGACTCATTTTCTTCAGAGGCTACGTTTGCGTAAAAAAATATACCGGTACTTCGAAATACATGTAATTTTTTTCTTTACATTGTTGTATCATCTTGATTTCAAAATTTACGTTAAGTTAGTTTCGTGTTGCGGGGTGTTATTTTCGATGATGTCACGGCTAAAGTTTAAAGAGTATAGAGCCGATTTGAACATTATATGTCATCTTCTTGATGCGTTCATAAAATAATATAGGTTATATCGAAAATGCATTATTGCACTGGTTTCTATGGTGATATTATTTATTCATATCTTGAAATTATGCTCTGTTACATGATTGGATTAATATTATTGGCACGAATCCGAATCGCGTGTTTCTAGTATGACAATAGTTTTTAATACAATTGGAAGTTCTCTCCCATAATGCATTGCACATATGCGTATAATGTGCATAGTTGTGAAACAATCATCGAGTCTCTTAGCATTAACACACACACAAACTGGATAAGGTTTATTTTCGACTTGTTCAAACTAGATCCGTGATAAAATGTTATAACTTTGTCACCGGCGTCGACTATGCGCTGATTGTGGTCACTTTAATTCGAAAATCGGTGTACCACGGTTGTCAAGTCCAGTATGGAGTGCCTCATGGTTACTGTGAATTCTGGTAACTGTTTTGGTGAATATAATGCAATTGTATATTTATGTTGTGGTGCGATGCCTAAAATTTTATTAAAGAGTCAGCAGAAATAACAAACAAAACAGTATTTTGAGCAAATGACTAACATACGTACATCGTACTGTACTGGCAATGCAACCGATTGCTGAATCTTTCAATTTTATCTTCTTTGAGGTATAAGTCCGAAACACACACTCGAAAATGTGGTTTACAGATATAAACTCACAGTTTTGGTCCAAGTCTTATAAGGTTTATATCTGTGATGTGATGTTGGTAGCATATCATCTGCATGTTTTGTTGGCAGGTATCCCGCGTTGACATCTGACACTGCGTTTCACAGTAGTTATAACCACCCCTGGGTCGGTCACTATTATAACAACAGTTTTCATTTAACAGTTTTCATTTCCCGCTGAAACGACTCTACTCACGTCATCTCCATGTCCCCAGAATCGACATATTTATCCGTTGGTTTCCTTGGAATCCGGATGGAGCAAGCGGGCGCCTTCTCTGGGTTGCTAGTCGGTGTGATGAATATACACAATATCATAGCATAACTAAATACAGTGTATCCACTGATGACCATTAGTAATATGACCCACCAATTGACCTATATAAATGAGAAAAACAAGCGTATACGCAGAATGATTTCATGATACCTTTAACATTACAATCATACGAATTTATAGTAATATGCGATAGCGTTGACGCAAGTGCGACTAGCTATCCTGTATGTTCCTGATGTACATACACATCTGTCTGTTCGTACGCTCGGCTCATGTGCATGCATGCATGTCCGCCTCTGTCTTTCTTCTTCTCGAAAACTATTCATGGACAGTTATTATCATTATTTAAAGGGCATTAGTCGTCGCGCCACGCATGCGCGAGATATATGGGTCTCATAAAAACAAAGACGACGACTTTGACTGTTGCGCAGATCAACGGGTACAAACTGGGACGTTACCAAACTTTAAAATAGGTATTTTTAGGTGATTGGAAGGTATCGAAGGAGTCGCCGACGGTAATTAGTCGCGCCCAGGTCAATCCTCATCCTTGTGATGTCCATTATAAGAGCGCATTGAATTGTG